AGCCCTGCATGAAGAATTCCGCGGAAGTCTTAAAGATACTATATAGCGATGTATATATATATATATATATATATAGTTTTTTTTAGTATGCTAAACCCGATCGATGTAACCTCATGCAGACAATACCTTCGCAAGGTTTGGAGTTGCTTTATGTAGAGCCCTGTAGAGGAACTTTATAAACCCTGTATAAAGCCTATATATCCCGAAAGGAGACCTTAACCTTATAAACTTTATAAACCCTCCAGAGCCCTACATAAACCCCAATAAGCCCTAACCCTACAGAGCCTTATATACCCTGCGCAACCCTAGAAACCTATAGAACCCTGTCGATCTCGATGACTATATAGCCTTCTTTTTCTCTACCTCCCTTGCCGGGTTATTCACCATGAAACCTCTGAAGCCCTCCCAATCCTAGCATCCCGAGAAGAGCAAAAACTTTAAGTGCATCTGGCAGGACACGTGGTGGAGCACCATCAAGCCGCACTTTCAGGAAGCTGCAGCAGATGCATCCTTCGAGGACTTGTGCCAGATCGCCTCAGGAAAGGTTGAACCCTTTCTGCAGACGCATGGATCGCGCCCTGCCTAATGTGCAGAATGGGGCTGCTCATGACCCATGGTTTTGCTACCATAGATGGATATATCTTCTGATCAAGCCGCGAGGTGTGTGTGGTGTGCGAAGTTGCGAAGTTTTCTTTAGAAACTTCCAGCTCGAAGCAGTAATTCTGCGACCTGTGATGAACATGGGTCCTCAATGCTGAGATTGCGTGCCAGGGGAGTGGCTTCACACAGCAGGGGAAAAACCGAGTTGTCCGTGCCGCCCATCCTGATATCGAAACCCAAAGCCTGCAATTACTGCCCTCTATACCAAAAATCCCTAAACCACAATTCTGCAACTTTGTAAAGTTCCGGTAGTATTCTAAATCGCCCATCCACCCTGGGTATCCGTTGCAGCCCCCCCCCCCCCCCCGTTTCACCACACCCCCGAAGTAATCACAACCCATCCCAGAAATCTTGCTGTCAGGCGTCGACATGGGCCCGCGGCAGAACATCAGCGTGCTCCTGAAGCGTGGGATCAGCTTGGCTCCAGATGAGACCAAGAGTCCTACCGGCGAACTTAAGGCTTTGTGTGCCATACTTCGACTTGTTGTGACATGTGCTGTGGGGTTGGGAAATCGCTTGCGTGTCTCTGTGTTCGAAGATCAGTCGGCTGATGGATACCAATTTGGTACTTGGATTCGCAGCTATAAGGACACCTAGGAATTTAGAGGAACGTGTCTGAGTTCTGTGTACTGTGTATAGCTCTATGGATTCGCGTGTGGCTTAGACCAATTGTAGCGTTATCTCTTTGATCATTGGCCTCATGACTCCTGCCATGGAGAGAGCGATTCGGAGACTCATGACACTTCGAGTCCCCAAAGCATCTAGGCTGAAGTGGTGGTGTTGTTGGACCATGATTGTATGCGTTTATAGCCAAGGCCTTTGTAGCCATACTCTTGCTCACCTCCTGGATTCAAGACGAGCCTAGCTTCACGCGACGGCACCACGACATACTGGAGCTGTTCGCCGGCAAAAGCCGGATTGCCCGGCTGGGCCAGGCCGCTGGCTTTTTTACACTAGCACACGACAAGGACTTCGGTGAGTGCATGGACATGAATAGCAGTGCGGGGTTCGTGCCTCTCGGTTGCTTTACTGCAGATCCCAACGTGTAGGTTTGGAACCTTTCAAGCCCTGCCCTATATGCTGCAACGCGGCCCAGGCTGGCGATAATGATGCTATCCACCTTGCATCCGGACGGTGGGCTCGTGCATCTGGGCCTGGAGTGCTCCACTTATGTCTTCATGAGTCGTTCCGTGACGAAGAGGTCTATCTTAACACCCATGGGCTTCCACCTTCTACCAAGCGTTTCCAGTGCGAATCAGTACACGTCCAGGCCCCTTAATGAAGAACCATGTACTGTGCTTTGATTGCCTAATGTGGTAAAGGGTGCTAGCTTCGGCCTTTCGGAGGTCATGTCTCTTGCTGATGCTCACACATGTTCTCGGATCTGTATGGATAGTCGAGCAGCCGAGCAGCTCGGTACTGCGTGACCACATTCGATTCCAGTCAATGCTGCAGATGTATCAGCCTTGGTCAGTTCAGGACGCTTGTCGGCGATGCGTGACACGTTGGGGTGTTTGCGGGTAGTTGCAACATATCGGTTTAGGGTTGAGGGTTTAGGGTTTTGTTTATGGGGTTTAGGGTTTAGAGTATAGGGTTTATATACGGTCTATAGTCTATAGGGTTTATAGGGTTTAGGGTTTAGGGTCTCTGTCTCTCTCTTCAGCAAACTAGACTAGACCCATGAGTAGACAAGGAATGAAAAGGGTTTCCCTTCTGGTTCAAATGGGGTTTCAGGTAACTTTCACCCTTCTTCGGGAATGATGGCCTAAAGGGAAGAATGGCCTACACTATATAGGTCTTGGTAGACAGCCCAAAAATATTAACCCTTACCCTATATAGACCCCCTTAAGCTCCTCAATGCTGTCCTGTCGCAGCTAAGACCTTCAAGCAAGCCTTCTCCCTGGGCTGCTTCGGCCATTATATGCTCAAGAGGACTGTGGTTTACAGCAACTCTATGATTGTAAGATGCTTGGAGGGTGGGCCTCTCAACGTCAAAACCACGAAGAAGAAGAAGGCGAAAAAGACTACCCAGAAGCAGCGTGGTTACACCTATCATGTAGACCGAAATGGCACGCGACGCAGCACGGGAAACCCCCAGTTGAAGAAGAGCCAGTACCACTACGGCAAGAAATAGACTTTTCTTTTGTTAATCACACAGCCCAACACCTATTTCCCAACTGAAGCCTTTACGCATGCTCAGGCAATACCCAGTGAAGTACGCCAGAACCATCGTTGATATGCTGCCGATGTTCCGTTATGGAGGCAGCAGAACGCAAGTCCCTGAGGTGCGTGGCAACTTCAAGGGTTGAGAAAGGGTTACGGGGTGTTATAAATTTCGGGGGATGTATTGGTTTCCTACGTACTGTGGACCTATATTGGCTGATCGATGGGTTTTCAAATTTGTCTTTGGTTGTTCATGAATGGAGCTTGACACAAGTACATAAAGAAATTTAGGGTTTAGGGTTTAGGGTTTATATAGGGTTTAGGGTTTAGGATTTAGGGTTTAGGGTCTATAGAGGGTTTATAAGGGTTTAGGGTTTAGGGTTTATAAGGGTTTAGGGTTTAGGGTTTAGGGTTTATATAGGCATATATGTAGATAAACAAACAACAAGATGTAAGTGTATTCTTGTATATGTACTCTATATATATATATATATACATATCTCTATATATATATATATACATGTATATCTACGCATGTTATATATACATATGTATATACCCACCCACCCAGAACCCCCAACCCCAAAACCCCCAACCCCAAAACCCCCGACCTGCTGGGTGGGGGGAGGGGGCTTTGTGGCAAACCTACAAAAGGCAGATGTTTGGGAAGTGGTTTGGGGGGTGGGGGGGGGTTGGGGGGGGTGGGGGTTTGGGTGTATTTCAAGCAACCCAAACCCAGAAAAGTTGGGTTTGGTTTGGGTGGTGGTGTATTTCAAGCAACCCAAACCCAGAAAAGTTGGGTTTGGTTTGGGTGGTCATGAGCATCAGCAGCGTGGAGGGGGGGGAGGGGGGGGGGGGGTTGGGGGGGGGGGGGGTTGGGGGAAGGTTTTGGGTGAAGGGATCTAAACGGGGCAAACCTACCAAAGCAGAGATGTTTGGGAAGTGGGAGGGGGGGGTTGGGGTTGGGGGGGCGGGGGGGTGGCGGGTTTCCCCAACCCAGACAAAAAAAGCCAAAAAACCCTCAACCTTAAACCCTATAGACCTTGTATAAAACCCTAAACCCAAAACCCTATAAACCCTAGAAATTAGAAACCCCAAGCCCTCAATAGAACCCTATAAACCCTACACCCACCCCTCTCCCCCGCACCAAACCCCATGACCCCACCCCGCCTTGCAGGATACAACGAAGCCTCTGGCGCAGCTCTTCGCAGAGTATGAATCACCAGACTCCTGGCCAGAGGCTGGCTTGGAAGAAGTTGTACAATATCTGAGGTTGAGTTCACACATCAAAGTGCCCATGGAGTTCAAGGCCCTGATCCCGAAGCACAAATAAACCTGCAGGCGAGAGGCGCGTGATCTGTCATGTGCCGACACGTAGTTCCAGGCGTTGCCACTTCCCAATGCCTCAAAACCAGCAAGTTGATTCTTCCGGGGTACCTCTTCTGGGGCAGGGGAAGTGCCACTTTTGCCAATTCGAAATTTAAGTTTTTGTTTCCGGTGCCCGAAATCGGTGGCGGAAATACGCGGTCAAATGGCGGAAAAAAGCGGAATGCCTTTTCTCTCATGTTGCCTGGTGTCTGTTTTGTGACGGTGAAATGGCGGAAATTTGTCTGAGTGAGGGATGCGAGGGCCAAATGGTGGAAATTATATTGGCTGGTATCCTAGGTGTCCGATGCGATTCATGCAGGATCTGCGGCTCAACTCGACTCTCGGGTGTCGCACTTTGGGATCATGTCGTCTCAGACCCTAGAGAGTGGGTCTGGGTCCTCCTCCACACTGGTTCAAGGCATGGAACTGGCTGATGGAGGTCTCAGAAACATGGTCTGCCCCAAGCAAGAAGTAGATGAGGAAGAACAAGAGATGCTGAAAGAAATGCAGGCGCCTTGCTCCCTGATGTCTATAGCAAAAAAGGCTTCTAAACCCTATACCTAGTAAACCCTACCCTATCAACCCTATATAATCCTATAAATCCTATATAAACCTTAGAAAATATATATAAACCCTTGTATCCTGTAAACCCTAAACACCTCGCTCTCACTCTGTCTCTCGTAGACTCGGGAATCCGTCTGTGGTGAACCTTACCAATCTTCCTGTAGACACCGAGTATACAGAGCTCGATCGATAAAGCTTAGAATTCTAACGCCTGGAGCAAAGCTTGACCGATGTGTAACAGCAGCATGCAGGAGCTCTTCTACAAATTGAACCATGGTGCGATCGTCATCGAGGACGAGGACGATGGCCCACTCAACATGGAGGCCGCGCAGGTCTCGGATTAGGCCGTGGCGTAGTCTTCGTCGTTCGGGTCATAAAGGGTTTATATAGGGTTTGTAGGAGGTTGGGGTGTTATGAGGCTCATAGGGTTTGCAATTTCGAGCCTTTGTGTTTGTTCTTGAAGCCCGGCTGGTGGGGCGGGAAAGGGGTCGAGTTTTTAGGATCCATATAGAGTGTGTGTACATATATAACTATACAGCTATAAAACTATATAGCTATAATATATATATATATATATATATATATATCCCTCATAGACCGCTCTGTGTGTTTCAGGGGCTTTCAGTTTGAGAATTTTCGGGCTAATTTTATGAGCATATGCATGTGTACATACTACATATACACTTTGCATATATGTATGTTATGTATATATATATATATATACACACAGTCTATATGGATCCTCTAACCCTATAGAGTTTCAGAAGGGCTTCAGAGTTCTTGGCTTTTCCGGTTTCGATGGGGTTTGGGGCAGGCCATGAATTCCCCCCCCCCCTTCACCCTAGAATTGGTAGAATTCTGAAAACCCCCTTTTGAAGGGCCCCATGGTTTAGGTTTATATCGGTTATATAGGGTTTGTAAAGGGGTTTAGGGTTTCTAAAGGGTTTGCAACGCACGAGGCCAAAGACAGGACACCCTGTTATTCAACCAAGACGCAAAAAACAACCCAACAAACCCATATAAATCCTGAACCCTCACCGCATGGGGAAGGGGTCGGTTTCAGTCGTGATTGAAGGCATGTGAATATGCTGTCATCTACCAGGATCGCCAGGATGGCGATGTGTCTATGGAGGATGCACAGGGGGGCTTTCCGACCGGTGTCCCTTACATACCCGCGCAGCAGCGGGGTCTTCACGAGCCCATGACAGCAAACGAAGCTAACACGCATGGTTTCGAGGGCTCCACACCACTTCCAGCCGACACAGCAGCAGACAACGAAGCTCAAAGCCCGCCTGCAGCAGCAACTGCGGCCCCAGCCCAGGATGAGATGAGTTCCAGCGAAGAAAGCTATGCCAAGGCTTACACGCTGGAACAAGTGGATGCCATAGCGAAGGGACAGTCCTTCTCCGCTTTCTCCGAAGACCAGACACAAGAAGACACGGCAGCAACTGGCACCCCACCCAAGGCCACATCACTGGACGACACTGCTCAAAGCCCAGTCGCAAGTCAAAGTTCTGCAGTCACAACAGCAACCGGAACTCTAGCTCCGCTGAAGACCGCAGCGCCCGGCGACGCAGCTCAAAGCCCAGTCGCAGCTCAAGGCCAACACGCAGCAACTGGGACCCCACTGACCCCAACCGAAGCCAAGGCCACAACACTAGGCCCCGTCGCAGCAGCAGCAGCAGGAACAGGGACCCCAGCTCAGCCCAAGACCAACGCAGCTCAAGGCCCAGCCCAAGCCAAGGCCACAGCGCCGAGCAATGCAGCCCAAAACCAAGGCACACCACCGCACAACGCAGCTCAAAGCCCAGTCCCTCCAAGCACAGCAACCGGGACACCGCCGACCCCTGCCCAAG